CCGGGACAACTTCTTTATGTTTACAGACGTGACGTAATGATGCAGCAGCATGCTCGAATTTCCAGTGAAAACCTACCCGTACCACTCAAATTAGAAAACATTATTATAAACTGACCGTTGGGAATCGGGCTAAAGTAAGGCGATAGTTTCGAACACTGACTGGTTATGTACTTGCTCAAATATTGATTTCGGATCATTTTTAACCAAAACAAGTTATGGACTGAAGCTTTAAAAATTGCTATTTCTCTGGATTTAAACATTCTTTGAAACATCTGGGATAATGCAAGTACACAATTCAGCAAAATATATAACACTGTTCTAGTGATTTTTGGACATTTTAATAAAAAATCTTACATATTGTGCCTTTAATATACTTACAGTAAATAATATTATATTTATATGTAATGATTATATTTAAAAAAAATAATATTACATTAAATAACATTATATATTAAGTAAGCACCAACTAATAAGTCAGTTTGAAACTAAAATTATGCAGTTGTTGCTTTTTCTGCATAATAAGCATGTGGGTACATCCCTATTTTGTGTACATTTAGCACCCGGATATCAAGTGATTTTCTACAGACTTTAAATACTGACCACAAGCAATATTCCAGAAGATCTGTGACTCTCCCGTCTGGTGCAGGATCCTGTACGGAGCCACACGAGCACTCGAGTCCAGCACCACATCCAACGTACCCACCAGCAAACCTGAGAGACAAACATTAAGATAGAAAAGTTCACAGGTCACATCTACATGCAGTATGAAGAGGGGAAAAAAAGTTTTAGTCAATAACAGGCGTCAGAGCGCAGTGGTTTCCTTCAGTTCTCATTGCTGAGACACACATATTTACCCAGATAAACACTCCAAAGAGAAAGGAAAACTTGAAATCGCATCATATGACCCCTTTAAGACATGGCATGCCATTTGTCACACACATCTTGACTTCCTCCTACAGGGGTCACATGATCAGTTAATGTGTGATTCTGATGGACACATAAACACTAACTGGCTTCTTCAAAAGGGATAAAGCTTTGTTGCGATGCGTTGAATATTGCACAAGCGTGACATTAACACACACTACACCTAATAAGAGTCTCACTGAAGTATGGCAAAACACCCGTATGATGTAACTTCCAGACAACAACAGGGTAATGCTGCTGAGGTCTTCATAACGTAATTGAGTCGGGTTCAGAGGTGAATGCAGTCATTCTGCTGTCATGTGAGACACTCCTCTTAAAAAGTGCCTGTTTTTGTCTGTTTGTTTTTAGGAGCTAAGGAAACGCATATGAATATCGTTCTCAGGAGGCAATAAGAAGTTAACATATTGTGACAACACAAACACAAGCCAAGCAAAGGCTTTGCTCCCATGAAACTCAAGATATAGATTTACTTATAATACTATAATATTGTTTAATTTATCATTTCAACCATCTGTAATTTATTTATTACTGTATTTCTTAAAACAACATTAAACCATACACGTATAAATTACAAACATATAAATATACTTAAATATAACATAAAGCATGTATAAACTTCCATTTCATATATAAATAAACATGACGCAAACACAGTCAGCATCAATGAAGAGATGCGACCAAAACAAATCCACCTAAAGATTATTCCACATGTTATAATGAATCACCAGCAAGTATAACTGCGTTGATAAACTCTCCTTCATTATGCATGTGTGATCTGTCATGCATACGAGCCCCGACGGTTTATATTTGGGTAATATCTCGTACCCGTGATGCCTCCTCCGCGCCCGTGTCCCTTCCTCCTCTGCAGGATGAAATAGGGATTCGCTCGCTCGCTCACCCACAGCGCATTGGCCATTAACACCTCCTCCGGGGTAATCCACATGGCTTCACGGGCGCTTTCACTCTGTAGATGCGGCGAATGTGTGAGTTTTAATCATGCCAGAATGGACGGGACCGATGTTTGTATGCATGAGCCGCCCAACTCACTGCGGGCGAAACCAGCCACCGTGGAGCCAAAATGGCCTCCTGAGCCAGTGGAACTTCAAAATAAAAGTCTTTAGCACCGTCGATAATAAAACTATTATTATTAGTATTAGCATTAGTATTATTGTTATTATGTCGTATTTTATACAAGTGTGCTCTGCAAATATATTTGATATATCTGTCAATAGATTTGAGCTTGTGTTCCACAGCAGCATTAAAATGCGTAGATTTGTTTTATTATTACATGTTTTTGCACTGAGAGATGTTTCTTTTTCTGACGGTATTCTATCTGTCCTGTTTGGCAGATAATCAGTTGCTTGCTCTCAATGTTGTACAAGTTTACAAACTTGAATCCGGGGACCCTCAGTGCAAGTACACTTAAAAATGTTAAAGTAAAAAAAATTTTTATTTGTATTTTTTAGTTTCGGTTAATATGTTATTTTATTATATTAATTCAATGTGTTTGACACAATTAAAAATAAAAAACACATATAATCAGTCTCATTCTGCTTTGTACAGTCTGTTGGGAGCTGAACCGACAGACCTGGGGCAAGTTCAAGCTCAAACCGGTGTGCACCGTTTTGCTACGGTTTCCGGTTTGAACCATATGTTTCCTGTTTATATGTTTTGCTATTGTATTGTGGAGTGACACTTTCATAAACTTTTCTATACCCCTCTGATTATATAATGGTAAATATTACAATATCATAGCACAACAACAGTGATCAGCAATAATGATAAGCCTAATACTCACAATAAAAATAATAAGGTCATATAGATCATAACACAGTCTCGGAGGTAAGAATTGGATTATCCTTCACCTGAAATGTTTGTCTTTTCATCCTGAAATGCGAGGCAAATGTTGGATCACAATAATTAGGAACCAGTTTCCACAAATCCCTTCATTTGATTGGTACGTTCTCTTTTATTCTGGAGGGCAAGGGCAATGACTGTACCATCGAGCGTATTTTGCAGTATTAAACACGTATTTATACCGATTTCATCAGGCTCCGAAAATTCTTCAAAAAGAACACAAAGAATGGCCTTCTCAGCTGCCATAGTTGCAACTCTTGCGTCATCAGAACAGGGTGTTCAACGCATCACCGTTTCCGTTTAAAAAACGTTTTGCACCGTTTTTGTCGGGGCTGAACGCAGCCCTGGTTTTCACAATAAATAAATCTCCATATAATTCCAATCTGTATAGATTTTTTTTTAATAATATTTATTGTAGTGCTATACAAATAAATATGATTTGAGTTGAATATGTTTCTTTTCAGAGTTGTACATTATTTTAACAGCAGAATATTTCATTCTTTTTACTAAGAGTTAATCTGTAAATGCATCGATCATTTATGCATGCAATGCGCATTTATGTCCACGTTGTGGCACTATGCTAAAACAGTGATTCAAATGAAAATTGTCTCAACTGGGATTTGAAGGGTATAAAGATATTAAAGGTGGGGTACGAGATTTTTCAAAAACGCTTTAGAAAACTGATTCGGGCCGAAGCAGCTAGAAATACAGCTTGGGTGAACCCAAAATAAAATTAACAATTAATAAAATAAAATAATGTTTGTATGTGAACTCGAAATCAACCCCAACTTTGCTTTAAAAAGTATCACAAGATCTCCTAACCGAAGATCATATGATCTTCAAGTGATTTATTATTATTATTATTATTATTAGGGCTTCATGTTAATGTTAATTTAATGTTTATGCTAAAAAAAGTGCATATAGCTGCTAATTGTATTTGTTGTTTGTTGATTTTCAAATATAAAACTTATTGAAATGTTTTCAGTGTGTGTATCAGTTCTTTTTGAACGTTTTCATCTAATTTGAACAAAACCGTGATAATATTGATAATCGTGATAACTTTGGTCACTATAATCGTGATATAAAATTTTCATACCGTTTACATCCCTAGTGGCGGTATGTGCCTAAGGTGTGGAATATGCCAAAAATTCCAAAGAAGAAGAAGAAGAAGATTCGGGGCGAATAGCAAAACAAACTTGTAGCCAATCAGCAGTAAGGGGCATGTTCCGCCAAAAAACTCGACACACGGTCACACACGGTTTTCAACGGTCGCTTTGTCGCGTCAGTCCAGTGTACTAGACAGACTTTAGCACAGACACAATGTTACTCACCTATCGAGAAGAAACAAAGCAGCCTCGACGTCCGATCGCAGGCCTTCCACTCCTTGAGTTCTCTCCAGCGCTGGAAAGCTGATCCGATATTTACACGGGTCCTACTTCTTGCCTTAAGCCTTCTTTTGTTCCGCAGACGTTTTCCTCTTTTGTTTTTTATCCGCCATCTCTATCTTTCTGTCGCTCGGCTCTCTAATGTCTGTCCAGTGCACTGAACGCTCTCTCCTCCTCATCATGAGTAGAAATGCCCCTTACTTCTTCTTCTCTCTCTCTCTATATATATATATATTTATTTATTTATATATATACATACTTCTTTATAAAATGTAATCAAAATCTGTAGGCTATATTGAATGAATGAATGAATAAATGAATGAATGAATCACCCAGTTTTCCCCACACAATTTAGTCCTGCATTTATGTATTTATTCCTTTTTTAGGCATTTTAGGGGGTGAAGTCATGGCCTAATGGTTAGCGAGTCGGAGTGAATGTACAGCACTCTCTCCCACCTTCAGTACCACGACTGAGGTGCCCTTGAGCAAGGCACCGAACCCCCAACTGCTCCCCGGGCGCCGCAGCATAAATGGCTGCCCACTGCTCCGGATGTGTGTTCACGGTCTGTGTGTGTTCACTGCTGTTGTGTGTGCACTTTGGATGGGATAAATGCAGAGCACTAATTCCGAGTATGGGTCACCATACTTGGCCACATGTCACGTCACGTCACTCACTTACTCACTCATTTTCTATAATCATTTATTAGACTTAATCATTTCTACATTTCCAAAGTATATGAATTTTTGTATAAAACAGACAAACAAATTCATTCAACAAAACATTCATTTTTTATACGAAAGTGTTTTTTAGCGATATTTAACGCCTGACCCTGAAGGCGTCGAACCACAGAGGCCTGTTCGACTGAGAGCAACGTCACAAAGCCATGAAACACGCTTGATTTCTCCTCAGACAGGCCTGGAATGAGGCACGTGACCAGTTTTTGAATATCCAAAGATCTGTTTTGTGCATTTTCTGTGTTTTTGGATTGCAACTTGCAAGTCGCATCGGTGGCTGACGGCTTGTGCTATGTGAGTTACGTCATTCAGAGCCGTTTGTGTGTTTTCAGTCTGTGCATCATGGACATTAAAGTGTCTGCTGTGTTTGAGTGTCAACCTGAGATTCTGAGAGTGTTTAACATCCATGTGCTGCCTCTTTGTGTCCTGAATCTCTGATTTAAGTGCTGAGGTAGGTTTGCAGTCATCTGGCGAGAAACTTCTTCCACACTTAGAGCCGATTGTTTGCATACCTCCAAACACACCTCCAGTCTTTCCTCATGGCTGTTTTGATATCCAACACAGTTATTCCTCTGTTTAGACACTCTAATGCAACTCTACTCCAGACTCCAGCCAGAAACACCAGCGCGGCCGTCCCAGAGTGGAAGAGCTTCTGCTGGGCCTGTACCGTCTGCAACAGCAGCTGTCCGACTGAGCCGTCCAGCTCGATACACTCAAGCAGACGTGAACAGGAGCGAACCAACATCGCATCGCCGGCATCTTCATCCTGGATCAACTTGGGCCATTTGTTGGGACCCAGAAAGCCATGTGTGGAGGCAGCTATGGCCTCTAACTGCTGGAGTCCGATGTGGCGGCGCTGAGCGACAGTGGCACATGAATAAGGATGAATAAGGAATAAGGAGATGCTGGTTAGTTAATATTTACAAATGTTATTTAGCTGTGTGTTCTGACAGGATTGCACTGCAGGCAAATTTGTATAAATACAAATAATAAAATGCAATTAACCATATAAAAACAACATTTTAATTATTAGAATTTAAATAAAATACATTTTTAATACGTAAAAAAAAATACTCAGGGTTTTTTCACCAAGACATGTAGTGCTTAATTTATTTTTTTTATTAATTCACACATTTTGGGGAGATTTTTGTAATGCTTTATTAGACTTAATAATTTGTACATTATTAATTTACATGTATTTTTATTTTCTAGAATATATTTTTATTATATATTAATTAATATATTAATATATTCTTATTTAAAATGTTCCATTTTTCCATGTATTGCACAAAATGGTGTAAATATTCAGGATAGCACACATATTGTACTATTAATTTAATTAATTATCATTAATTATTTATTATTTAGATGTGTGTTGAGATAAGGTTGTTGGCAGAAGGAAAAACAAGGCTAAATGCAATAAATAATCAAATGCATAAATATGCATATTTACATATTTAGCTTAGCGAAATAAATATACAATTTTTAAAAGGAATCAGAAAATGTCTGCAATATCTTCCAATCAAACTCGACAGTATTTTCCCAAATTCATCTGTTACTTGGATTAAAAGTTTCTTTTGAACATTGTGTTGTGTGATGAATTATTGGCTGCCAAGAACATGAAATCTTCAAAAATTACATTTTCTATTGTAATTTTGGTATTGTTTTGAGTCTCTACTAGATGTTCAATGTAAACCATGTTAAGAAAAACTGATTTCTGATGGTTTTAAGATACTGTACAGTGAAATACTGTACTACATCTGACACTGAGAAAATGTATAGTCAAGTTGCATTTATATTACACTTCATACAATTTAGATTTTTTTTCTAATTAACGAAAATAATAAAATAAACAGGTAATGGACAGGAAAATAACAGTTTTAATGTTGCAAACATTTATCAACATTTCAGCTGTAAAATGATATTATTAAGCTCAATTCATTTTTTTTCAAGTTTTTGTGTTCATCTGTCAGTGTCAGTACAGTAATATAAATAGTCTAATATTTGTCTTCTTAGCCCCTATTTAATATTTAATCAAATGGATGATGTGGATCCTGCACACACTTTTCACATAGATTATTGCATTTAGATTAAATGCATAAACTATGCATAAATGAAGTTGTCAAAAGCATCAAATGCTGCTATATTAGATAAAATGAGTAAACCGACTTAAGAATATTTCTGTGTGACATAATGGTCGACCATTATGTCACACAGAAATATTCTTTTAAGATCGACTCGAGGTTATGCAGCAGTCTTATTGGCAAATTAGCTTCTCTTGTATTTTATGCAGGCAAAACAAAGCATTCAAACTGTGTGGGTATCATTTTGGATCAAATTTCAACTCAAATTCGAGTCATATATAGCCTACTACTAACCCTATCGTATACAATGTCCTAATCAAACCGAAGCTACAAACCTTCACCGCTGCGCTGAGCTGCATTGTTTACGTGGTGGGGCCATATTCTGAAATGCGCATGCGCACCGCACTACAACACGCTTGCTAATGGCTCGTTGCTAAGAGACGGATGCCAAACGAAACAAACTGTCAATTACGTCTAACAAACCCGCCCACTCATGTTTGATTGGTAGAATACATCCTAGACCGAAAGGCTGCACCTGCTATTGGATCAATCTGCTGTCAATCAGTCAGAAGCCACGCCCATCCAAACGCGCTCAAGGAAACCAACGACATTGACAGCATTTCCTACTCTTGTTTACTAACATTTCACGCAAGCTGCAAAGCTGTGGTTTGATTCTCTTAAAACTTTCGAGATGGTAAGTATAGATTAAGTTACTTTTAAAACTTTGTGAATTAATTCACGTTAGCAGAAACTAAATAAGAGTATATATGTTCGTTAGCCTAAACTGTTAGCTTGTTGGCGTTATTGTTATGGAAACCAGCAGACAGACATTAGCTTCATTTGTTGAAACACTTTTATTGCGGTAACATAGAAACTGTTATCTTTTACAGTAATTGTGCTTGCTTGAATCTAATTAATTAAACCGAAGTTTTGTAAATCTGCGTATGTGATTATGAAACTAATCCAGCTCTTAAAATCTCCCACCAAATACAGATTAGCCTGTGAATAACTTATGTAAATGCGATTTAATTAAGTAACATTTATTTATCCTTGCAGGAGAAGAAGATTGCTGTTAATTAACACCAGTGCAAAATAAGAATATATATATATATATATA